TGCTACTGATAAGTGAGATGGTGCAAGTTCTCAACTTAATCAGGAAAGAAAAACATCATATGCTGAGGTTGCTAAGATCTTTGGTAATTTTTATTACAGTATACTGTTATAATTGTTCTATTTTATTATTAGTTATTATTATTAATCTCTTACTGTGCCTAATTTATAAATTAAACGTTATCATAAGTAGGTATGTATAGGAAAAAACAGTATATATAGGGTTTGGTGCTATCTGAGGTTTCAGGCATCCACTGGGGGTCTTGGAAGGTATTTCCCGAGGATAAGGGGAGACTATTGTACCAGACCTCCTAGAATACATAAACTGAATCATAGCACAAAGTTTAAATATACTGATGATATGAAGAAAACTATTTTATTTAGGGTTTTAAAAACCTTATCTGAAATTGTGATTCTTTTTTTAGTTGCCCTTCAAGTCTTCACTTTAGCTCTTTACTACTTGGGAACTCATTTACTGAAAAATGTCTATCAACAAAATCATGGGCTGAGCAAAATCAACTTGTAAAACAAATATAAATAAAACTTTGCAAAATTTATGCCACAATTCCAACACTTGCAGTTCTGCAGGGAGTAACAGAGGAAGTGGGTGAGGAACGTCAAAGACCTCATGTTAGGATAGGGAGCACAAACACTAAGGGTCCAATAGCAGTAATCCACGATAAACCCAGCCTGAATGGGACAGAGCTTGCTAATAATTCCTGTACTATGGGAATCCTAAAAAAGTCTCTTAATAAATTCAATTATCCCCCACCAAAATATCGTTTTAACTGGAACTTTTGTATACTAAATTTGTAAATGTACAAGTATATTAAGACTCACTTAAAAACCATATACAAAAGTAATTTGGCTTTTGCACTAAAACCTGGAAATTTTTTATCTTAAGAACTTTTAAAAACTCAATTTCTATGAAATCAACACTTTAGCTATTCTGCATGTATCTCTAGTAAACTATAGAGATCTGTAGGGGAAAAAATAATTATCTGACCATATTAATTATTGAAATATATAAATATCTCTGCTTTGAATGATTATAACACAGATAATGGAGTCAAGTAGTATGTAAAGAGATTCAATGTTGCTGTTTCCCTATGCTTCTGTGCCTGGCCCCTTTTTTTGCTAGCTTTAGTAATTCTTGCTGGGTCATCTTTTTTTTCTTTACAATTTCAGGTCTACTTACGTGTTGCCAACTCTTGTGTCATCATCCCCAGCCAATTGCTTTTTCCTGAACCTCAGACCTGTATGCACAATTGCCTAAGGGACGTCCTTATGTAGACCCATTCATCTGGTCATTTATATAGTCAAAAATTTTTTGAGCATCCACTCTGTGCCAGGGACTGTTCTCAGCACTGGGGACAGAGCAATGAACCTAACAGACAATAATCTCCACCCGCATGGAGGTTACATTCTATACAGCGGGTAAGCAAAACAACTAAGTGAAGTAAGCGTTATAGAGAAAAATAAGACAAGAAAGGGCTTGGAAGGGAATGTGGGAGAGGGTACATTTTTTTAAAAGGCTGGTTTGGAAAGACCTCACTGAGTAGGTGACATTTGAGCAAAAACCTGAAGGAAGTGAGTATATAAAAATCTGGTGGGAAAGCACCAGATGTCCCACGGGCACGTCAAACCAAAGATTCACAACTGAACTTACTCTTTTTCCTTGCAAGTCAGCTTCTCTTCCTATATTTCCTGTCTTTTTGAATTGTGCCATCATCTCTCCCACCATCCAACACAGAAAGGTGAGATTTACCACTGGACTCTACTCTTTTCTGTAACTCTGAACAACAATCTGCATCCCAAGTCCTTTTGATCCCACCTCCTATCCTACTATCTCCTTTTGACTTCTTTTCACTCCTATTGCGAGGATTATTGTCACTGCCTTGTTCACGCCAACATCATTTTTCCTTTGGATTTTTCCAATATGCATTCTCTTAACTGGTCTTCTTGCTTCCAATCTTTCGTCCTCCAATCCATTCTTGATGCTACCCAACAGTGACGTTTGTGAAATGCAGTTTATCATGCCCTTCTCCTGCTTCAACTTTTCAGTGGTTTCTCATCATGGACAAACCCCCACTCTTTATTGTTCCATGGAAGGTCTAATGTGATTAGCACACTCGCCCTGCCCTCCTCCTCTTCCTCATAACCTCTCCAGGTTTCTTCTCACCATTTTAAGTTAATTTACTGGCTCTAGCTCTATAAAGTTCCTCCTAAAAGCGACCCCTTACACACTTTCTACAAGTTACTTTGATAATGGTGATTTATTTATATGTTTGTCTTTACTAAACACAGCTCAGTGCGTGGGTCAAAGGAGGCACTAAAAAAATGAAGGGATTGGGCCGGCTCGGTGGTGCAAGCGGTTAAGTGCGCGTGCTCCACTGCGGTGGCCCGGGGTTCACCGGTTCGGATACCAGGCGCACACCGACACATTGCTTGGCAAGCCATGCTGTGGGGGCGTCCCATATAATGTAGAGGAAGATGGGCACGGATGTCAGCCCAGGGCCAGTCTTCCTCAGCAAAAAAAGAGGATTGGCAGATGTTAGCATAGGGCAGATCTCCTCACAAAAAAAAAAAAAAAAAATGGATAAAATTAAATGTATTACCCTTAATGACTGGTATAATATAAATATGTACACCCCATATCTAAGCTCCAGCCACAGGCAAAAGGCTTCCTCTCTCCTCAAATCCTCTGAATCACCTTAGAAACCCCTCTACAACATATTCTGATATTGAACGCAAACAGCCAGTCTTATTTGCTTAGAAAACCATCATTTTAAAAGCACAATACTCCTTTCCCAATAACAGCTTCAACTTCGGGGAATTCAAATAACACCATTGCATCTGTGCACTTTTATTTTTAGCAACAAAGAGAATTTCAGTTCCAGAATACAGGAATTGCAGAAATTGAGTTAATTCTGTTAAAGATAATTTGAGCTTTGAGAGAACTGGTCATAGGGATTAAAAAACGAAGCTAAAGTTAGTGACAGAAAGTAAGCAGAGATACAGGAAAATTAGCTTTCCAAAGCTACTCCAGTGGCATCTGGGAGGAAAAAGATCCAACTTGTATATAAGGGGGTAATGGAAGCAAAATCCACAATCAACAATCCAGACATAAAATCAGCAAAATATTTAACATATAAATGGGGGACGAGGAATAGCAAAATGTAATTTGATATGTATCATATCTAGAGTAAAATAAAACAATTTGCAAGTTTCTCATTTATTGTGCCTAGTAGGGGTAGCAAATCTTTGTTTACAAGTACCTGGTGGTAAATGGAAATTTACAGTACAATATTGCATTAATTTGAGAGGTATGTTACTGGTAGTGTTTCCATTTGTTACCACACAGTCACTCCTTATTAATGAACAGCAGTTGGAATTAGACTACTGAACATGATTTCCAAAGACTTATGGTTCATTTTGTTTTTTAGAGAACAGTAAAAAATAATTATTAGAACTTTTAATTTTATATGCTCCTAGCCCCATTTTGATATTTCTAGCTATGTATCTAGGATGATTCATACGCTTGATAATGGTATAAAATGTAACTTCTTGAAAACAGAAATCCTTAAAGATATTTTAAATACTTTATAGACATAGAAAACAGGCTTTTTATTTAGAGAAGTTTTATGGATAGTTAAACTGAATACTGGCCAGTTAACTCTCTTGAAAGAACTTAAAACTCAAATCTTTTTCTCTATGGCTGGCAACCCCAGCCAGAGATTTACTAGCACAGGGAGAATGAACTATTGCCTACGTTTATCAGATTTTATCATGCACAGCAATCAACTGGAGATGTCGTTAGAATACAAATGCAACTCAGTAGGTCCAGGGAAGAGTCTTGGATTCCAGGCATGCTGTTGGTCCGCGGACCACACTTTTGAACAGCAAGGCCTGAATCAGTGGTTCTCAGCCTTGATGCCTATTGGAATCACTTGGGGAGCTTTAAAAAACCATTTCTAGGGGTGAAGGGTTATTTAGTCTGGGGTTCAGTCTGGGTACTGAGTTTTAAAAGCTCCCGAGAGATTAACAAGCAGCTAACAAGTAGCTAAATTTGTGAACCTATGGCCTAAAATGTATTGGTTACATGTATCGATAGGTTTTATTTCCCCTGGTTTCCATTACCGTAGATACCACAGCTAGGAATAACCAGTACTGCATAGATTATGAGAGTAATAGATGCCCTGAATCTCCAAATTCTCACTGAGAATATGATTCATTATTCAACAGGTTCTAACATTAAGAATCTTAGTGGCTTCGTTTCTTTACTCCTACCAAATTATTTAAAGCATACTTTTAATAATATTTTAAAGTTAAATATTACAATGAAATGACAATCTGAATTATCTTTAGATTAGGAGGTAGATATGTAAAAATGTGATTTTAAAGTATATGAGGTGTTTATTCCTAATTATAGAAAAAAAGGTTCAGAGTAGTTAGGAAGTTTATAAAAAACAATCCCTAAACTTGGTACTTACACCAAAAGAAAAGCCCAGACACAGAAAGAGAAGCAAAAGTTTACTTAGTATCCCTACTTGAAGTAGGTACCACTGATCCTGGAGTTACACACTAAATTACTCTTTCTTCATAAGGCCTTTCCTAATTATTGTGCTATGTTGAGGTTTGTAAAAGGTCAAGATGCAATTCCATTCCTAGGCTCCCTCCTTAAGTCTTAGAAATGCACATCAAAAATACTAAATAAAAAGAATATTTTAAACTCGCAGGTATTTCAGAAATTCCCTAATTATATTAAAGAGTATTGGAGTTCAAGTCAACTACCACATACTAACTATGGGACTTACTCAAACTTTCTGAACAGGCTTTCTCACCCCTCAAATAAGGTGTAGAGAAAGTCCAGCAAGAATGTGAAAGCACAGACTAATGCCACATACAAATATAAGACAGCATTAAGTATACCTATGACGAGCCAAAAAATAAATACATAGTGTGGCAGCGCAAAGAAACGGGGAGTACTTCCAGCTTTGCCATTAGCCACACAGCAAGCAAATCACACACCTCAGTCTCATTTTAAGAATAAAGATGCCTCAAATAGATTATCTTGAGAATCCCTAGCAGATCAAAACTCCATGATCTAAAAATAACTGATTAAGTGGTGCTCTAAAGCAAATATGATTAATTCTAATGAAAAAACACCTAAAGCTTACTTTTAACATGATTGGTTTAACAAGTCTCTTAAGAAAAATACCATTTTTAGACTTGTCTTCAAGAAAAGTCTACTAATTATTTGGCTATCATTTAAAATAGCAAATAAATTTAAAAATTTTTAAAAAATGGAGTGTAGGAGAAATGGGAAGAAAGGGGATCATTAAACACAGTGCAAGAAACACTATGCAGAATTAAAATAACGGAAACCAAGGATAATGAAATATTAAAAGGCTTTTCCTAAGGAAAACTATTTCAAAGCATCAAGTATGGGGTGTTATGATCTATCCCAAAAAATATATAGGCATTCTTATTAAATACTCAAAATGTTTTTAAGTATTGCAAATAAGTCATAATTCCTATATAAAATTATCCTAATTAATAAAGATGGTATAACGAACATGGAGATTATTTCCTTTTAATTTATTGTTTGGTCTGAATACATGCCCTGCCAACCACAAAATACCTAGTGAGATTAAACACATGAGAAATCCTTGTAAGAATCACAAAGTGCCACAGCTCCCTGTCACAAGGATGCTGAGAAAATGTAACAGTGAAGAGACACAAGGTTGTCTCAATCATAAGTTCCAATCATTAATCTTCTTCAGAACTGGAATCATCCTCTTGGTCAGAGAGTTCAGGGACAGGGAAGCGGAGAATGGCAGCTACTCCAGTCAACTGGCTGAGCTGCTCCCCAGATACATGAAGACTAGAGAATATCCTAACAGTGCCTGCATTCTCTTTCACCCTGTCCACCAGCCTCACATACCGGCTCCGGGTGGCTACATCCTGGTGCCTGAAGAGCTCATCGCTGATGAGCAATGTGTCAATGGCCATAGCCTCATTGGCCTTCTCCACCTGCCTGAGTCCATAAAAAGCTCGGTCTGGTTCATGTTGTAACATCTTATAGAAGTCATCCAAGGCTTTTACTTCCCCAGCAGCTTTAGTGTCTGAAAGGCGGCTAGCCACAGTAGGGTCACAAAGGGCCTCTTTCAGGGAGTACTTGTGTCCAGAGGAGGCATGTACCTAGAAACACAATTATAAAAGTTAGACAAAAGAATCTCTTAGAGCACCCATTAATCAGCCCACGATGACCTAAAGCCAAAAGCACTCAGAAGGCTTTATACGTTGAAGGCCTTAAGCAAAGTTTACTACATAAATTTGCTAGCTATTTAACAGTTCCCTTTTCATTATCTCATTTACAATCCCAATCAAGTAAAGACTTTCTCCTCTTGTACTTCACCCAGTTCTAAAACTTTAGCAGTAGTTGATACAAATCCCTCTGCCCATTCTTAATCATCCCTGGGTAAGACTGTTTTACCTGAAGGAATTTGGACCGGTTTTCCAGGAGCACTTTGTTGTCAGTCTTCACCGCTTGTTGAAACATGTAGTCGCAGAACTGCTCCCTCACAAATCCGGGGCTGGCCACCAGGATGCACTTTACAACATCAAAGTGTATGTGGCGCTGGATGGCCTGGACCACCTGTTCGTAGAACCGCTCCAAGGCTCGGTCATGCTGGGAGCAGTTGCCTTTCCGTTTCCGAGGGATGTTCACCTCCACCTTGGCCCGAGTGAGGGTCATGCTGGGAGTGACTAAGCAGATATGGGCGAGGCCTTCCTGCATAACCACAGCTGCCACATCGGCGCTCCAGGCTGGGTCACAGGCCTGCTCGATGCGCTCCAGAACCACACTGTCCCACTGCTTCTTGGCCAGGGTGAACTGGCGGTTGGGCTCCAGCTCGATGGTGTGGTAAGCCCCCATCTTGACATACTCATTCTCTTGGATGTTGGTTCCCTTGACCCGCAGCTGGCAGGCTTGAGAGTCGAAGTCGATGGCCTCCACGCAGAGAGTGAGGGTGGTGCGGACCCGGTTGCTTCCCACGCTGCCCGTGGAGGACTCGGTCTGTACCTTGCGGATGGTGGAGGCGCGCAAGCTGTCGCCCACCTGCACTAGATTGTAGGTGTGCCACATGTCCTCGGGCTCCTCGGGGACCAGGGTCACCTGGCCCGCATTGTCTTTCTCGATGTCCTTCCTCACGAGCCTCATGACCCTGGCAGCGGCTCACTGCCAGAACAAGAGGAACCGAGGGGGTCCCCACCGGGAAAGGGGCAGGGAGGGGAAAGGAAGTCTAGGCCGGGAAGGGGGCGGGGTCCGGTTCCTATAGCACTTGCCTGGCGGAAAGGAAATACTCTATCTCCGACTCAAGCGGCCGAGGGGAGCACTTACTTTAGCCTTTCTTCTCTCAGTCTCGGTCACGCCGCGCCAAACCGGCGCGAGACCCACCGCAGCGAACGCCGTACTCTCCGCGGTTCCAGCCGCCAGCACGGACCAAGTGGCTGATGCAATGAGGGCGCATGCGCATGTCTTACGCCCCAAGGGGAGGCGGGGCCGCAGTTTGCGCGTGCGCAGGAGCGGGGAGGTGCTCCCGACGTATAAACCAGCTAAGAAAAGTGCACGGGCTCTTTGGTGGCAAGTCCTTTATTTTAATGCTGACCTTTGACTACCTAACTTTTCTCTTCCATCCCTGTTTGTGAAGAATCTGAGGAATATGTGAGTGCAAATATATTTTTTTCAGCCGCGCGCAGTTGCCACTCTACACCTTTGAGTAAATCCAATTTCAAAACTTATCTAAAAGTCAAAGGAACTCTCAAAAGTGCAGACTTGGCCTTAAAGGTCCAAACTGTGCTTGGCTTTGCTTCTGCCTTATCCGCATGCAGAGGCTCCACGCCTTTTGGAGCTGGTATGTCCTGAAGTTGTTTGTAAGAACGACTGGTCAGGTGGTTCTGGGCACTGAGCAACGTGCCCAGCTGTTTACTGCGCTTAGTCTGCACGATCTGATTAACCCAGATGTTAAAGAACTGATCCCAGAGAGAGAAGAAATCATCTGTGGAATTTAACCCCGGGTGGACCTCTCAGTTGCTTGACCTGATGTCCTAGGAATCCCATAATCCAAAATTGGCTGTCTCAGCTTTCCGCAGCTCAGTGCAATGTTTAGGGTGGGGGTTGGGTCGCAACAGCTTAGGGTAGGATCTTCACTGCCAAAGCTGAACTGAGAGCTGAGGATATGGGAAGTGGGGATAAACCTGATCTACTGTGACCGACCCCGACTGAATAGCTACAGAATTGATTTGAAAGAAAATCCTTAAGTCACGTAACATTTTTTATTTAAGGCGAGGGGCGGGGGTAGGCGGAGGAGTTTGAGAAATGGCAATTGCCTCTTAAAAAGACCAGTGAATAGAAAAAGACCCCAAAGTTTTCTTGAGAGTTAAAATGGGGTGGAGGGCAGAGGAGTCCTACACACGTCTTTACATTCTCTTTCCTGTCTTATTGTGTATGGCATTGAAAGGAAAGCTTACCACCCTGAACTGGTGAGACGGGGATGAAAGGGAAGAATCTGACACTGGCACAAGTCTTGATACTCAAGTCTCAATTATCTTCTTCAGAGATTGTCAGGGGACACAAAGGTCCTCTCCAAAGCGCTAATGCAAAGCAGAACCGCTATTTTGTGGCCTCCTCTCCCTCCCTCTCTCTCCTTACCGCCCTCTTCCTTCCCCACCTTCCTATTATACTGAATGCCCTCACACGGTTCCTCACTCAGATTGCCTTCTTCTCTTACCACTTGCAAGAGAATTCAGTAACTTTCCACTGTGCAAGGAACTGATCACACTAAAGTGTAGGGATGGTTTGCCTCTCCAAAGGATATTGTATTTTATTTTATTTTTTTTTGGTGAGGAAGATTAGCCCTAAGCTAACATCTGTTGCCAGTCCTCCACTTTTTGCTGAGGAATATTGGCCCTGGGCTAACATCTGTGCTCATCCTCCTCTACTTTATATGGGGGACGCCTGCCACAGCATGGTTTGATAAGCGGTGCATATGTCTGTGCCCCGGATCTGAACCTGTGAACCCCGGGCCTCCGGAGCGAAGTGCATGAACTTAACCCCTATGCCACCAGGCCGGCTCCCGAAAGGACACTGTATCTTTTTAAAAGGTGCTTGTTAACCTAGAATAATTCCTAACTGGGTAGAGTGAGTGTGTGTGTGTGTGTGTGTGTGTGTGTGTAAGAGAGAGAAAGAAGCGCTCCTCGATTGCCTTTCTAAGTACAATTCACCTCTCTGGAAAATCTGCCAAGGATCAAAAACCACAGAATCACAGTGGTAGTCACAGTAGGATCTTAATAAATGTTAGGTTTTTATTGAAGAGCTATTGTTTATTAAATGTTCAGCACGTACTTTCCTATGCTCTTTCTCTCTTTCTAATCCTCATCTGTAAGGTAAATATTTATTATCCTCATTTTATAGATGAAGAAAATGAATTACAGAGAAGTTAAGAAATGTGTTGAAGATCACATAACCAGCATTCAAATCCAGCCCTGCTTAACTCCACACTCTTCTTTCCACTAACACAATTGTATGTTATGGATGCTTGAAATCTCTGCATCCCCACCAATTCTGTGAGGTTACCCACTGCCATTTCACCTGAACTGCCGCCTTTACCAGTTAAACAAAGACTCAGCTTAGGAACCAGCCTAGAGGATTGAAAGGCACTCATCTCTTCCTTGCTCTTTTATTACTTTTTAAAAATCCTTATATTCTTCTTTTCAATGTAGTTTTTCTTCTGCTCAGACTAGGTCACCATTATAATACTTGAGAAAGTTCTAATATCCTACTTTAGAAAAATACACATTATTTCTACATTTAAAAACTGTGGAAAACCCACATTGACTGTTAATTCCATGGTTTTTTTTTTTTTAATTATGAGGCAAACTGCTTTGGGCTGTCTTTTTAAATATAAATGTGCTTCAGTGATTTAACATACTACAAATTTTTTCGTAGAATTACTATTTGATCTGAAACATCTGTAACAGAATTTTTTTTTAGTAATTTGAGCTTATTGTTGAATGATCAGATGTTTTTCCCCCAGATTTTGTGTTATAACTTAGTATTTCTAGACCAATCATTGCACTTTTGAGTTATTTGGAGTTCTCATTCCCTATTAATTAAAATCCAAATTCCTTGGCATTCAAGACCTCCATGACATGGCCTTACAAGCTTTATTTCTCACTTGTCCCCTCCAGCACCCTATATTTCACTATGGGAGTAATCTTTCTTCCCCATACATCCTGGGAACTTCCTGCAGCCTTAGCTCATACTGTTCTCTCTTTTTAAAATATCACTTTCTCTCACCTCTGCTTCCATAAATCCTGCTTATCTTCAAGGACTAGCTTAAATGTTATCTCAAATTTGAAAACATGCAGTATATTAATTGGAATGCATATCTTTTCTCTCTTACTGAATTCTGGATGGAGTCATCCTTGTATCTGTCCATGGTCCCTTGAAAAGTCCCTTGCACATAGTAAGCACTGGTATATGAATGATAAGCTGAGTGGATCAGATGTAGTGTGGCAACTATATTAACGTTATCACAGACACTTTTTAAGACCCTGCCCTTGTTATCAACTATAGTTCACTTAATTTAATAATGGAAGTTTACAAAGTAATTCCTCTTATTTTAAAACTGCTACGGTTATAGCAGTGATATAATATATAGCCGTATATGGTGTTTTCATTCTTTACCAAAATAAGCAAAATTGTGAGGAAAAAAACTATGATTTAGCTATGTTGCTATAAATTCTAATTTTATACTTATTTATTGGCTCTTAGAAAATAGAAATCTTTATATCAGTAACTTTAATTCATTTATTTTTCTTATAACATTTTATTTATATTAGTCTCTCCAGAAGAAAAAAAAAGTCAGTCTTCTTGCCTCCAAAAGTTTTCAATTTGTTGTTTTTGATATACTTCCAGTGTCCCAAAAAGAGAATTGGGCTAGAAGTCAAGCATCTTGGATTGTAATTCTTACCCTGTCAATTGTTTTTACTGTAACTTTTGGCAGCACCCAGTCTCTTTGAAACTCAGTTTCTTTTACTTAAGAATTGAGGAAATTGAATTCAATGATTAAAACGGTTAAAATTGTTTTACTTGCAGAAATTATGCTGTAACAGTATTTAAAAAAATTAAAACGATATCCATAATCTCACTCTAGCACATTTATTTTCAATTTTGCATACTACCTTTTGAATTTGATTCTTCCTAAGGCCCATTTTAGTGGTAAAAGATCGATACTAAGTTTAATGCTTGCACACCAAAAGTGAGCCGACCTGAGGTTCAAGTCTTTTCTAGCTAGATTCTAGCAACTGATAAGTCCCCTAACCTCTATAAACCTAAACTTTTTCATTCTAAATTGTTAACAAAATTATTTGGCCTGCCTCTGTCATTTGACAACCCTTAGGAGGCTCTAATGAGATTATGATGAATTGTAGAGCTTTATAAACTTGTAAGGTACTATGGTAAATCTCTAAGAATGCCTGGCTTGAAGCTAGACATCTGGATCAGACAGAGCAAAGGGTGAGGGCTCACTTGAACATGATTACAATTATTCAGCCTTGGAAAAATAACTGGTTCAGTAGAGTTGACTGATGGATGATCTGAGTGCATTTATTTATACTAGCATCTCCTTTCCAGGGAAATCTTAGGTCTGTCCTACTGCATGAAGTGAGTGGTTCCTGCACCTCATTGGTGAATTGGATTACAATCCTTCTTGCTATTACAATAATACGTTAGAAATGGTGGCATGACAGCAGCAGGGATTATGGGCTCCTGAAGGATGGAAATCTTGTTTGAATACCCTGTGCTTACTTAGCACAGTGACCCCTAAATAGTAGGGGCTGTGTAAATTGTGTTTCTATCTTGTGTATTTTGCAAAGCTTACTTTCTAGCAATACAAACCCAATCTTCTCCTTTCTTTGCTAATCTTTTCCTTTCTTTGCTTAGGGGCTCCTCCCATCTTTGCTTCTTCGCTTGTCTATTGCCTCTTTCAGACTCTGAGCCCCTTAAGAGCAGAGACTACCTTTTATTTGTCTTTGTGTCCCTGGACCCCAGCACAATAACTAGTACATATCATAGTTATTATATGAAAGAATGAGGGGTTGTTAGTTCTCCTTTAATACAGAGTTTTTAACTTGTCTATCACTGACATCTTAAAATTAGGAAATCTCATTCTGTTTTATAACATTACTAAAAATTTTAAAAGAAGATTCCTCTTAAAGGTAAGCTTCTATAAACCTATTTCCATTTTTGAGATATCTATGCTTGGATAAGAAAATGATTACTTTAAACACATCTCACTGAGGAAAAGTTCTTAAAATGTTTTAAAAGAATGCATAACAACAATTAGTTTTATCACACGTGGTTTGGAAAATGATCTTTATAGAATAAGTAGACAGAGCTCTTGATTATGAATATCTACTGATAAATGCAATCATTTATTTAGAGAGAATATGCTAACCTCAGATTGTACCAAGATGCCCATGTGACCTCCACAAGCAAAGCTAGTGGACAACTGGAGGATTATTCAGCTAATTCAGGCAAAAGAGTAAAAAGGAAAAGGGTAAGTTTTTTTTGTGTTTTTTTTTTTTAAGGAACTTGTACTCACTTACTATCTGAATTTCCTGTGATTAAAAATACTTACTTGCAATTGTCACAAAACAATACAAAACCTCCTACCAAATAAACAAAATCTTATCAACAAAAGTGTGTGTGTGTGTGTGTGTGTGTGTTTCTGTTTGCATGTATCCCTACATCGTACAGGATCATTTTACCAAAAATATTAACAATAAGATGTATAATTTTAAGGACTTGTCAATACCCATGTATTTTCAAACTTTAGTATTTGGCAAACTACAAGTGTAACTAATAAAATAATTTTGAAAGTACACTGTAATTTGTATTGTATTAAGAGTATAGGATTTATAATAAAATATGCAGACCATTCATCTTAATCATTTGACATTCTAATGTGTATAGGTGCCCTATTTAAACATAAAAATTTGCATTTATTTCAGATCTCAGATAATTCATACAAAAAAGGCATATGTCTTCATTCCTTAATATTTGAATTACAATGATTTTTCAATTCAAATTTCTCACATGTGTTGTTTATAGAGATCTACTGTTTGGATAAAACAATATTAGTGTTTTTGCACATAAAGTGAATTCTGAACACCAACCAGTGAATATCTTTTAATCTCTTTTTAAGACTTAGTTGACGTTGTACTCTTCCTTTTAAATTATAGACGACTTTAGATAAAAGTTAGGTCCTTCATATATATATGCCAAGTGCTAGCCACAAATATTACAGAAAGTTATGGTTTGCCAAAACTAGAGTCACTGATCCTGTGCAACTAGAACATTTTTTGATTAATTTATTGTCACCTTTCTCCTGAGTCTTCCTTTTAAAAGTAGGGTATTCAGAGGAAGCTTTGTTATTGGGATCTGGTGAGGCTGCTGGTGCCAGAGGAGCATTATCTCCTGAATTAGATATAAACTTGGCTCTGGAAGGGAACTAAGAACAGGGACAATGTTCATAATTTTGTATCTAGAAGGAGTGTCATTTGTACCAGGAGTGCATTTGAAATCTTATGATACAGTTTTTAAAAATACAAAGAAATGTGATAGAAAATTGCCGTGTAGATATATGTTGTTGTAATTTTCAGGTGCACATTTTCCCACATTTCAACATCTCTGAAACTAGGAGGCATCTAACAAATCTAGCAATTATGATTGGATTGGCAGTGCTTTTCTTTCTTAGTAATGCATAAAATAATGGCGCATCACTCTATTAATGGTGTCTTCCATTCAATTGGATA